TTTGCTCTGTAGACTAAAGGAACCTCCTGAGGGTAAGGGATACCTCCTGGTTGTGAGATAGCGCTTTCTATTGGAGAGACTACCAGAAGAGTTGATTCTAAAAATGCCTCCCTCTTGCAGCTTAAATAGAACACAGCACATTTTAAACATCTGAGCGGTAAAACAGACTAGTAAAAGTTACCTATGCACATTAGGGAACCTGGGAAGCTGTAGAGCATGATCTAACATTGGTGCATATTGCATCAGAAAAGAGGAAACCTAACTTGCTACCCGCTTCCAGGTCCTGGGACCATATGTGGCTAAGATAGCCGCCTAGGGATCAGCCAGAAGGTGTTGCCTGGGTTGTGATGAAAAATCAGATGACCTCTAGGATAGGCTCAGAACCCTTCTGCCCTCGTGGATAGCTCATGTCACCCATTACGGCCTGTAGGATGGGTATACACGTGAACTCTCTCCACCCTGTTGACCTTTATCCTGATTGGCTCCTGTAAATTATATTAGCTGTGTGTGTTTTCTCACACAGCTTTGACTGGTCTCCCTGACGTGTCTGATTGTCCTCCGGTCAGAGGTCAGTTGACCCTTGACCCTTTCCTTTCTTGGTTCGTCCTGGTAGGGGCTTGCTCCCCCAATCTCTCTCGCAGGTCAGGAGGGAACGGGGGCTAAAAACCCCAATAGGCAGCTTTTACTAATCATCCCATGTCTTTCTCTCAGTCCTACAACCTGAATTGCTAACATTTCTGACCTACGAAGGAAGGGGAGCATCCAGGAGGGAATGGATGCAGGGTTGGGAGTGTTGTGTAGCCCACATGGAGGCAAATGTGATTGGGGATTTCCCTCAGTGCCATTCATCTACCGATCACCCTAGATACCCCTTAGGGCTGTCGGGAGGGGGCTCAAGAGAAAGGAATCTTAGGAATAGGTCTGAGTGTAGCCCAGACCGGAATTCCACAGTTGTTCCAAACTCCTTCCTCCACCTCCATGCATCTGAGGTAGATTGGGATTAGGGATACTGTGTACTCACGCCAATTGCTCTCTGGGCCCAGACAGAAAAGTGGGAAGTGGCTTTGGCAGAACCCAACATGCCTGCTCTGAATTGAACAGGTGATTCAGAGCTGCCTAGGCTGGGAAACCTCTCACCTCAGTCTTGAAGAGTGGCGGCTGCACTAATTGTGTCTAAATAGCTGTCAGGTGCCCACATCACCCTCCAGAAAGAGAGAGAAAGATGCACCTCAGACAGACGTTGGGTGTGTGGAGAGGCGCTTACCTCGGTGTAGATCTCGATGGGGAACTCCAATCTGTTACCGCTGTTTAACGGTGAAGAGTCCTTGCTTCCCCAATGTTGAAGTATAACACCAGAGAAGCACACCAAGGCAACTTTAGAGTGGAAAGTAGAAGCTTTATTAAAGGTCAGCAGAAAAGACTTCTCCCCAGAGGAAGAAGGGGACTCAAGAGGTGGAATCTGTGGAAGGGTGATGTCTCCCGTCTTTTATAGCTAAGGTCTTCTTTCAGCTTTTCCGCATTTCTGTTCCATTCCTGTCCTTTGTTCTGTTATTTTTCAGTGATGGAATATAGGTGGGAAGGCCCAAAGGGTGGGGCACACGTGGGCCAAAGGAGTAATCTGGGCAGGAAGGATTTTTGGATTAGCATCTGCCATGTTTGTTGGGAGTTGTTTCATTAACATTTCTTTGGGATGGGCTCTGGGGCTTGGGAACATTAACATTGCAAGTGTTGTTCTGCTTTTCTGGGACTCCATTCTCAACATGGCCTTCATTTTCGATTTTACTGGATAGTAGACCCATTTACCTAACTACACTAACTACCCATCTTTAAATCTGGCTTCAATAATAAACACTCATCAAAATTTTAAGAATTTTTAATGGCCTTTTTAAGCTTTATCATTCACGGACCATTTTGATGTCCTGAAAGCTGTTGTATGCAATTATAATCCTAAAGTTCTTTGTCTTCATGGATTATTCAGTAGATTCAATGAAAGGAATCTGAAAAGTTTCTAACTTCAAGATCTTATCATTGTACTAGGCAAGAATTTCCAGAATGCTAATGAAGAAACTGGTTGTTTCACATAACTGCTAACTCAACATCAAGCACAACAAGAATTAATAACATGGGATGAATGGACTGCTGAACTAAAATTAATTTTCATGATCTTTTGTTTGACACAGTTCTGATTCTTTAACAGATTTAAGAAAAACATTTCTTTTTTCTTCCTCTTACGTTATCTAGATCTTTTAGGATTTTAGATCTTTCATGATTTTCAACATTTGGGATTATGGTGTTCACGATTATGTCTCTTGGGATTATGCCCAAACCCACTTTAGTGACTCGAGAAGTATCAGGATGAAGACAGGTCTAGAAGTAGGAAGCTCAGATACATTGTAGTAATGCCAACAAGAGAGGATGAGGGTTTTAACCTAAGGCTGTGGCATAGGAATGGAGAAATTTTAACGTGGGAGAATTAAAGGATTTGATGACTGATTAGACATGAGAAAGCGGGATGCAACAATTTGGTAAAGCATACCTCTGTGAACAAGATAAAATAATTATTTTTTCTCTGTGTCTTATCCCTCTAGGATTTGGAAACTATTAGTGAGATTCTTATTTTCATGGCAATATAATTATTTGTGTAAGTTTTTTTTTAAATATTTATTTTTTAGTTGGACACAATATCTTTATTTATTTATTTATATGTGGTGCTGAGGATCGAACCCAGGGCCTCGCATGGGCTAGGCGAGTGCTCTACCGCTGAGCCACAACCCCAGCCCCTTGTGTAAGTTTGATTACAATGCTTCTCCCTATAACAGGACACAAATGGAAACATTAATTAAATTCCAAGCCTCTGATTGAAATTTAACGATCAAGAAAGTTGGCCACTTGTTATGAACTATCTTCACTTGATAATCTGTCCCATAATACATTTTTTTTTCATTTTTCAATTTATTTTATTTTCAAATTTCTTTGTTTTAAATTTTCAACATTATTTTTTACCACTTGCCACACTATGTCTTTCATCTTTGCATTATTTCTAACCCTGAAGATATAAGATATATTGACTTTTAGAAAGTTTTAATTCATTTTATGCATTTATTATTATTTTTTGCATATTTGACTCTGCAAAAGCAAATTACACTTTGACTTTGTGTGTAAATAATGTGTGTGTATGTAAGTATCTTGAAACTTCCTCAATGAATGAAGAGATGTCCTTTGAGATCTTGGCTCTTTGAACCACACTGCACATGCAGTGGTAGCTAGTAACTCATAGTTTTTGACCAATTTTATCAAGACTTGAGTTGTCATTATGGCATTTCAGATGACAGCAGTTATAAAGTTGAATGTATGTACACAATTACCAATCATAATGATATTCATTTATAGAATTCCCTTTTTTTTTGTTTCTTTATGAATATCATCCATCTGCTAATAATTGTTACAACAGCGCAACTGTCATTAGCATACCTGAATGTTTATGCTTGCAAAAATGTTATTGACTATTTTATTCTGTAGTCTATGAAAGTTCTGTCCTGTTTTTGTTTTCCTCAAATAAATTTCTCTTAAATGATGTAAACAAATGTGTTTTTAAGAATTTAAATTTTTTCCCCCAGAATTACATTTTTTAGGGTTTTGATCTTTTAGGATTTTAGATCTTTCATGATTTTCAACATTTGGGATTATGGTGTTCACCACCATGTCTCTTGGGATTTGGCCCAAACCCACTTTAGTGACTCAAGAAGTGTCAGGATGAAGACAGTTCTGGAAATAGGAAGCCCAGATACATTGCAGTAATGCAAATAAGAGAGCATGAGGGCCTTAACCTAAGGCTGTGGCATAGGAATGGAGAAATTTTAACGTGGGAGAATTAAAGGATTTGATGACTGATTAGATGTGAGACATGAAGGAGGAGGAAAGCAGGATGCATAGAGGTCTACTTCCTACAGAGACATTATAGGAGGGCAGGTTGGCAGAAGGGTGGGAGAAGACAAGCAGTTTAGCTTTAGATTTACTGACTCTGAGAAGGATGTTAGATCTCTAGGTAGAAGTATTTAGTAGGCAATTGGATATTCTTATTCATTCCCTGAGGGCCTTGCTGTAACCCTAGGCTTGGCACAAAACCTAGCTCTTAACCTTGATGGAATAAACAAACGAATCTAGTCAAGTGTTAGTAATTCGTAAGAGTTCAATTTGGTGGTCACCTTAGAGCTTATGCGACATCACAGGAGTGAATGAGATCAGTTTGATGATGGCTTCAGGATTGAACTCCCGCTTCCCAATCTTTCTGGATAATAAACCCTCGGAATGACGGGCAATCTTGGAAATGTGGCCTCAAACAGACCACTACTTTTTATAACATCTACGTTTATTTTAAAGACTTATCTTACCTAATAACTTTTGTTAACTAATATCTGTGAAAGTGTTTTTAATTGGGATGGGGCGGGGTTGACCTCCCTTCAGGTGCTGTCGGCATCTGCACGCCTCAGCTTTTCACGACTCCGAGTTCCAAACGCAATTAGGGGCTGTCTCCCAGTGCCCGGGAAGGGATACCTGAGGGAGCTAGGAGCGGCCGTTCCGCGAGCCCAGGCAGGAGGCGGCGCTTGACCCACTCCGCCTGCTGACGCGACATAGGCTGAGATCACCTCAGGGGCGCGCGGTGCAATCACAGAGCGCGCCTCCGCCGCCATTCGGCAATCACACCTCCCGCCCCGAGATCCCTCCGCCGAGCCCCTCCCGCGCCGGCTGCCGGCTGGCCGCACCCCAGGGGTGCAGGCCCGAATGGCTCGCCGTCCTCAAGGAATGATCGTCTCTTAAGCCGACTTCTGTTTACTCCCTGGATCCCTTGTGCCACAGACGCAGCCCGCTTCCTCAAGTCCTATCTCTGGCGCAAGGAGACCTCGGTGTCGTAGAGCACCTCTGAGGGCGTGGTCAGATGTAGGCCCCGCCCCCTTTGTGACGCACGTGGTGGCGCGCGGGCGAGCGGTGGGTGTGGGTGGTGGGTTTAGTAGGAGACCTGGAGGTCTGGCCCGTCTGTTAGCTGCTCTCGCTCCGTCTGCTCGGAGGAGCGGCGGTACCTCGGCCTCCAGTGTCTCCGGTGGAGCGAAGCGGCGGCCAGGATGGTGTTGCTGGGCTTTCTGCAGGCTGGCGGGTCCGTGCTGGGACAGGCGATGGAGCGGGTGACTGGAGGCAACCTTCTGTCCATGCTGCTGATCGCCTGCGCCTTCACACTCAGCCTGGTTTATCTGTTCCGCCTCTCTGTCAGTCACCTGGTCCCACTGCCAGCCGGGGCGGTAAGTGCACCCTAGGGGACAGGGCGCGATCAGCTACCTCGACATGTACCGTGTTCGCGGCGCTGACCGGCTCCCTGGCCAGGGCTGCGGGTCTCGGGGAGGCGGTCGTCTCGTGGTACTGTCGCTGGTGGCGGCCGCAGTGACGACATTGCTGCTGGTGTCCGTGGCGGTCTCTACCGCCGTGGCCTTGTGCTGGGGGCCGTGCTGGCCATCGTGATTCCAGAGGTGTCCGTGGCGGCTCTGGCCGCGTGTCTGGTACTGGCTGGTGTTGTACTTGCTGCTTGCTGCATTTGTGGGCATAGTGATAACTGTGTGGGCTGCAGCCTTAATGGTGGTGGCTGGTCTGGCAGCCCTGGCCCTGGCCTCGGCTCTGAGTGTCCTGTGGCTCTGCTGGCCTTTATTGCTGCATTGGGGCCCTTGGTGGGGGCCCTTGGTGAGGGCCTTAATGGAGATGCTATTGGTAGCTGCCCTGTTCCAGGAGGCGGCTTTGTGTGGTTCAGTGACTATGGGGTGACTAGAATGTGGTAAAAGCTTTCCTTTACTATCAAAATGTCAATTTCTCGAATTTAGCGACTTCTTTGATCACTAGTTTAAGATCTCCCAAATAGTTTTTAGATTTTTTTTCGTGGTTGTAGATGGACAACATACCTTTATTTGTTTAGTTTTATATGTGGTGCTAAAGATCGAATTCAGTGCCTCACACATGCTAGGCAAGCGCTCTGCCATTGAACTACAGCCCCAACCCTCCTCCCAAATATTTTTGATCAGTGTACCCTTAACAATTGAAAACTATTCTGATAATGCATTATATAAACTAAGTACATTGTATTTAGCACTAAGTTCTAAATAGCTTTTAAAATAGTTTACCATAACAGGTAGGAGGCAGAGTTACTACTGCTATTTTTCTTAACACAGGTGATTTTTGAGGAAGTGGTATTTGTCTTTGGAAAGACAGGTGAGGTGGTGGTGCTCTTTTCTGTTTGAGGCCACCAAATATCTGAGGAGGATCATCTTTTTCATCAGTGAAGGTTTGTTTTTCAGGAGATTTACTGTTGTTTCTATGGGTCTCACTTTGTGGCATCTAAAGAACCTTTTATGTTAGAAAAAAGGTAGGATTGATCTACTTTATAAATCAGAAGCTGGGCATGTAGCTCAGTGGTAGAGCACTTGCCTAGCATGTGGATTGAACCCTGGGTTTAATCCCCAGTAACAACCACAGCCTGTCCCCACCCTCCCCCACTATAAATTAAAATTAAAAAAAAAATTAAAGTTAATGGATCTAGTTCATTTGCAGAGAGCAATGCATAAAATATATTCTTTTCACTGTAAATGTCACTTAAATAGTTCTCTAATTTCTATACCTCAAGTTACTGTTTGGCTTTTTCTATTCCTTCCTTAGGCAAGATTCTGGGATTAAAATTGTGAGTGGTTGAAGTGAAGAAACAATGACGTGATTTCCTTGTTTGCTTGCTTGCTTACTTGTTTTTTCTTTTTCTGTTAAATAATTAGAAATGTTGCCTGGAAGCCATCAGTACTGGACATACTTGATAGTGTCATTTAAAATTGTGATATCTTTCTGTTTCTCTAGTCATTTATCTTATACCATGTTTTGAGTTTCTCTTCATTTTAACTTCAGCTACTCTCCTAAGATATTGACAGTTTGGCTGTTCTTAAATTACTTTGGATGTTTCACTTTTTGGTGATTTTTTTTTTTAAAGTATTAACAGCAAATTTCATTTAATTGGTCATGAAACTAAAATGGATTCTTAAAATGAGAACTTATTATTTTTTTGTTTTCTCTTGCAGAAAAGTCCACCATACATTTTCTCTCCAATTCCATTCCTTGGGCATGCTATAGCATTTGGGAAAAGTCCAATTGAATTCCTAGAAAATGCATATGAGAAGGTAAGTCTTCCAGATAATTAGAGGAAAAAAATTAGGAAAATTAGATAAATAGATAAGTGTTGAGAGCCACAGCTTAGTCTGAATGAGGCCTGGCATTTTGCTAGAGGGAATGGTTGAAAGGTGACCCTGCTCTGGGATTAGGGCTGCTCTGGTATTAGGGCGGATCCTGGGGGGGGAATAAGGCAGCTCCGGATTAGGGCGGATCCTGCTGGGATTAGGGCGGATCCTGGGCCCACTACTTTGGAGTTCTTGTGGGGTTCAGAGAGAATTGACGCACTGAGCTGGGTGGAGGGAGTGTGTTCTCGGGAAGTGTGTGTAGAGTGCCGGTGAGAGTTTGGGAATAAACGTTGCTGTTTGAACCTACAAGGCTGTGTGCCCAGCCAGACTGCGGCAGATAAGTGCTTTTCAAATTTTTTTTTTTTCTTTATAAATGGCAGCACAGTGAAAAAAATGTGATCTTATGCTTATTGACAGTATAGAAATCATAAAATTGAAGCTGCTGTGATCTAAGGCATTGGAGAGACCTTTAAAACCTAAAACTCTTTTTAGTTTCTCCCCTTGTCCTGGGGGTAGTTCTCTGAGACACCATTAAGGAAACCTGTAGTTCTGATGACTTATGGTATAAAAATCACAGCTCTAAAGTTTGTTTGCACTGAATATAGTTAAAATTGATAAAATTGAGCCTCATTTTTCTTAATCACATATCTGAAGTTTTCTAATCTGCTCTATACATATTCCATGATTTCCTTCCCCCTTGGATGACCCATATGACATCATGGGCACTCATCTCTTTGCCCTTCTCTTTTCTAATGAGCTTTCCTATATTAATTCAATTATTTACTCCACAGTCCTACTTTATTTATTTTTTTTCACAGTCCTACTTTAGATCTATTAACTATTGCACCTAACAATCTTAATTTAGGCTCCCAAATAACATGCCTTCTCCTGATTTGCTTGTGAGACTCCTTTGATTATAACCATTCTTTAACTTCGTTAGATCTTCTACTCCATTTTGTTCTCATTTACTCTTCTCATCTGTCAGCCTTGTTTCTTCCTTTTTCTACTTTGGGTCTGGGTCCCATCATTCCAGTTATGTTCTTTCTAATAGCTCAGTTTCTCTCCCCCTGGATCCTATTTCTGGGCTTACTTGGCAATATTAACTGGGGGGCTGGAGAGGCACTTATCATTTTGTTCTTTTCCTGTGCTAGATTAATTTCTTCTTATTGCCTACCTTGCATGAAATTTGAATTCTGCTCAACAATTCTGTGATGTTTCTGTAAATGCCTTAGTTTCCCATTCATCTCAATAACAAATTCATACCTTCACTTTTCTAAACTTTTGAATCTTTCTACCTTTCCAGCAGAGTAGATGACTTTGTCTCCTATTTAAAGAGTGATTAAAAGCTTTCCAATGAGCTGGGCATGGTGGCATATGCCTGTAATCCCAGCAGCTCAGGAAGCTAAGGCAGGAGGATTGCGAGTTCAAAGCTATCCTCAGCAACAGCAAGGCGCTAAGTGAAAAGTAATTCAGTGAGACCCTGTCTCTAAATAAAGTACAAAATAGGGCTGGGGATGTGGCTCAGTGGTCGAGTGCCCCTGAGTTCAATCCCTGGTCTGCCCCTAAGCTTTCCAGTGAGAGCTCACTTTTTTAAAAAAAATTTTTTAGATGTTGATGGACCTTTATTTTATTTATCTATTTATATGCGGGGCTGAAAATTGAACCCAGTGCCCCACACTTGTTAGGCAAGAGCTCTACCCCTGAGCTACAACCCCAGCCCGAGAACTCACTTTTGAACATACAAACCTAATTGTCTCTATTCTCTTTCTTTTTATCACAGTAACAATTTAAAAACATTTACTGGGTCATGATTTGATACTTTACATAATTGTTTTCACTGAAGTACCACAAAAACTCTTTCAGGTATATTTTATATAATTTGTTCTTGAACTCTTTGCTAGCCAGTGGCAAGTTAATATTTACACAAAGTCTGATTTCTGGGCCTATGCTTTTAATAATAATGATGATTGTAATAATAATAATCATCAAAAATAAGTCATATTTGCTATAGTCAAAGCATTTTTTTGTCCTCTATGTATAATTTATATAAATTATGAATATAACATAATTTTGGGCTAGGGATATATCTCAGTGATAGAGCACTGGCCTAGTATGTGTGAGGAATCCTGAGCACTGCAAAAAGAAATAAACAAATAAGTAATCTTGACAATAGATCTGTTAACCAAGTTCTGTTTTTATTATTACCATTTTCTAGATGAGGGAAACTGAAGCCCAGAGAGGTTAAGGTTTCTGATTTAAAGTCACACAGCTAATAAGTGGAGGACCTGGAACTTGAATCCAGGCAGTCTGGCTTCAGAATCTTGTGTTTTAGCTTACTATGTACCATCATCTTAATTTTATAAAACTGTTGCCTCCTATTGGAGGCCAATATCTTCATCCCTCATTTGTCTCACAACAGTATACTATTTCTTCTCTCAATATATATCTTTTCTCTTGAATGGCTCTTTCCCTTTTTCTCTGAAAAATTTTCAGTGACTTGTATCTAAAAATCAAAGCTTCTCTTAACCTCTGTCTTCTTTCATGTGGCTCCCCTTCCATGAGTTGTCTACTTGCTGTTTTCCCTACTTCTGTTTACCTAATTGTTGGTCCACTCTAGTCTCCTCTCACCCCTTCACCAGTGACCTCTGTTACAAATCCAGTGAACTTGGCTTCTTTGACTACTTTTTTCTCAGTTGTGGGTAGATGACTGGCTGTTTCCTGTTGGGGTTCTCCGAGGTTTGGTCCTACATCTGTTTTCTAGGAGATCTTGTCTTCATGGAGCTTCTAGTTACTGGCTATGTGTAGATAGCCAAATTAATTTGTGCACGTTGGGTCTTTTCTCTGAGCTATAAACCTGGATATCCAACTTTCATATGATTCCTTCTCTTAGTTGTCTCCAAGGCATCTGAAATCCAATATTTCTAATGTTTATTTAACCACTGACTTTTCTCTCTGCTATCCTGATTATTCTATTCTACTCTCTTATTAATTTTTTTATAGTTTTGTAAAGTACCAGAAGTATAAAATTCCTTCTTTCTTTAAATTTTTTTTAATTATAGATGGACGCAATATCTTTGTTTATTTTGTGCCTCACATGTGTGAGGCACTCTACCACTGAGCTACAGCCCCAGCACATAAAATTCCTTCTTGATAACTTTGCTCTCTATCAATCTACCACCATGTCTGCAGATTCTGTCTTTAGAACTACTTGGTTGTCTGTCTCTGTTTCCATTATTTCACTATTACTTTTTGCTAAGTGCTTATCATCAGATTTCTGCATGTTCTCTAACTACAGAAACCCTTTCTGCTCCTGTCCCTTCATTCTTTGCACTTAGCAGACACCTTTTCAAATGTATATAGATCAATGTGTTTTCCTCACAGTTTCCTATGCTTTCAAGGAAAACCGTCTTTAATATGATTTATAAGGCTCTTTGTAGTCTAGACATTACTTAACTCTCATTTCATCCTCTCCTCTTTTTCTCTCATCTTTATGTCCTTTGTGCATTTTTGACTGCCAAGCTAACTCCTGCTTATTCTTTAAGTTTCAGGTCAGGTGTCTTTTTCTCTTTAGGTGCTCCCTTTTTATAGGCTATCTCATCACAGAGAGTTGCTTTCCGTTGTGTAATGTTTGTCCCATTTGCAATTTTATATTTGTTAATATTGATTATTTGATAAGTTTGTGTGTTTTCCAAGGGAAAAGAGTCTTAAGACAATATATTTGTTTATGATTATATTCCCAGAGTATAGTCTTTAATAATAATAAAAACACTGCAAGGTAAAACTTTTAATACCTCACAAAATTTAACAATAGCAACAAGAAAATAAAATCATTCATGTTGATGAAATAGTGTAAAACTGATAACTAAATAAACTTTTAGAGTATTCACATAGCAAGTACTGTAGAAAATACTTTGGCTATCCCTGTAAGTTTATTATATTTTTTAAAAATATTTTTAGTTGTAGTTGAACACAACACCCAGGGCCTTGCATGTGCTAGGCAAGCGTTCTACCGCTGAGCCACAACCCCAGTTGTAGAATTATTCATAATAAAAACAAAAACAAAAAGAACCCTGATACATTATCCATATGTGCAACAATAATAAAGCAATTTAAGTTAACATTGTGATGTCTAATGATAGAAAGAAAGTAGATATCTAATGTTTTAGTGATAGAAAATATTTTCAATATAAACAGTGAAAAAAGCGGAATAAAAAGTTGTATTTATACTACATTTGCAACTAGATGAATATAATTATAAATTGGACAATGATAGGAAGGGAAAGTATGGCAAGATGAAAAAAAAGTGTTTTAAGGTTTATGAATGTTTTATGTTTTTTTCTATAATGTGTGATTTAAGAAATTAATATCTTGGTGCTATGTATCTTTGTGTAACATGAGTACTCTTCTCTTTCTAGTATGGACCTGTATTTAGTTTTACCATGGTGGGCAAGACGTTTACTTACCTTTTGGGGAGTGATGCTGCTGCACTGTTTTTTAATAGTAAAAATGAAGACCTGAATGCTGAGGATGTTTATAGCCGTCTGACAACACCTGTGTTTGGGAAGGGAGTTGGATATGATGTGCCTAATGCAGTAAGTAACACTTATTTAGAATAAAGACCATTCTATACTATAATAGTTTTATGTAGTTTAATATTATACATTTAAAATGTAGAAACAATTTATTCTTTGGTTAGAAAATATGAATAAAGGGCTGGGGATATAGCTCCGTTGAGAGTGCTTGCCTTTTGTGTACAAGGCCCTGGGTTCAACCCCCAGCACCACACACACACACAAAAAAAAAAAAAAGAGAGAGAGAGAAAATATGAAGAAACATGATATATTTCAAAGAAGAATAACCGTATGTAACTCATAAGGAATTTTGCATTATATTTGCTGACATAAGCAAAATAATTATAAAAGGCTTCCTACACAAAGAAATGGAATCAACAATCACTTAGCATATTGGGATTTGCTCTGAGCAGCTAACAGGGAAATCCTATTGTTTCATCAAAAGGATTTCCTATCTACCCACTCCTGTCTGAAATTCTAGCCTAAGAACTTAGAGTTGGAAATTGCTGACGACTTCACAGGTCCCCCCCACCGCCCCCTTTTTTTTTAAACAGTGTAATGATGTGCTTTTTTTTTTTTTTTAGTTGTAGTTGGACACAATACCTTTATTTTATTTATTTTTTTATGTGGTGCTGAGGATTGAACTCAGGGCCTCGCACATTGCTAGGCAAGCACTCTACTGTTGAGCCACAACCCCAGCCCCACAGGTCCCTTTTTAATGCAGCTACTTCAGGTGTGAGATATGTTTGTGTTTTTCCCATCTAAAGTAAAAATTAAGGTGTTATAAGTTGGTATAGAACATGAATTAGATTAACTGGTCAGCTGCTTTGTGTAGGTTCTGGCTGTACTTTTATTATACATAACTCAGTACCTAAGTATAGTATTTAAGAATAGACAATAAAATGTTGTTTTGGGGGTTGGGGAAGTTGTGGAGGAATGAATGCTTCTCAAGTTCAAAAGCAAGGGCCTTGGAAAATCCTTCTGCTTGGATTTATGTATAAATGCCTTCGACGGTTTACCATTAGTTGTCATAGTATAAATTTATGTTTTCAGACTGTTCTAATTAAACTTCTGGAAAATAGTATCAGTGAGGGATGACAACTTTTTTGGGGGGGAAATAAAATAGGAGAGTATGCAAAGGAGGATAAAAATAATGTCAAAGTATAATGAGCCCTCCAGTATCAGGAAAAGGGTCTGTAAGAACAAGGGATTACCAGTAGATTTCTCTAGGATTCTGGAAGCAGGTACCTTTTTTCTACTTGTTACTTCAGATATATGTATGCATAGGTGTTCTAAGTTACTCACATCTTATATAGTTCAAAAAAATTCTTTAATTCTTTCTTATTTTCAATTTTCTAGAATACTATTTTACATGTTAGAATAACCTAATGGATCTTATGATAAAACAAGCACATATTTTAATGGCTTATATCCTTAATTTTTTTTTTTTTTTAATTTGAAGGTTTTCTTGGAGCAGAAGAAAATGTTAAAGAGTGGCCTTAACATAGCCCACTTTAAACAGTGTGTTTCTATAATTGAAAAAGAAACAAAGGAATACTTTCAGAGTTGGGGAGAAAGTGGAGAAAAAAGTAAGCAAAATGTTTTACATTTGTCCTATTATTCTACTTTTCTGTGAATGTAGAGTTATGTATGTGTGGATATATAAAGCAAAGTACCAGGTGTATAGAACTACCTTGAATTTAATGAGAGGGACATTTTTTGATTACCTGGAGTTGCAACTGTGAATCCAGTGTTTATACTGGCCTACAGTATGTGTTGCCTTCAGAGGCATTTGTCATATCTATAGCAGGAAGCAGCATCTGTTCACAGGGCAGCAGACTGCCTCTTCTGGGTTTGGGCTTCAGCTTCTACAAAGGGTCTAGAAATTTGTTTTATTTTTAGGATATCTACAGTCAATGATATGTATATGTATTTATACACACATAGCTCACATGTCATGTTATATATAATTATATATATGTTACATACAATTTTGCATATTAATACATAGGCACATACATATAAAATTATAGATGGCTTATAATAAGTATATAATGTACAATATATTAACATAGATAATATATTACTAAGATATATAACACATATTACATACCGATGTAATTGTTTTGATGTAATATATTTTATAACTATACAAGAAGCTGATGTGTACATTAGAATGCCAATTTCATAAATACATGTGAGACACAATATTTACTGATCTGTTTTTGGCAAATCTAATTGGAAAGCCAAATGCTAACTTGAAGTTCGTTTGGTGAATAAAGAATAGGAAATTTATTGGATTAATTTATGACTTGGAAGCATCATCAAATTGGATGCTGAATGCATGTCTCTGATGTTGGGATGTGCCAATGGGTGATTAAAGTTTTCTTTTATATATAGCCAACACTTCAATTTTTAGTCCTAATTTTCCTACATTGGACTCTGGAGAAATTAAGTCTTGGGTCTTTGACTACCATTCCCTGGGAAGTGTACCGCATTATTGTCCTCATATGTTCTAAATGACCTTTTTGTTGCTTTTTTTGTGTGGTGGTGACTTGGAAATAAGATAACCACATTTATTTTAATTTCCATTTTATCTTTTCAAGATGAAGAAGAACTCATGAATGAGGTTTAGAGATGCCTTTGTGGCTTCTACTTTGGATGAACAGAGGGACTAGGTGTGTCCCATAATTTAGTTTATCTCTTTCAGTGTTCTGCATAGCCATGTCATCAGTCAGAAAACATTTTTGTTACACAAATGGGATCTTGTTTGTTCTTGAGGTTTTTTTGGGGGGATACTAGGGATTGAACTCAGGGACAGTCAACCACTGAGCCACATCCCCAGCTCTATTTTGTATTTTATTTAGAGACAGGGTCTCACTGAGTTGCTTGGTGCCTCACTGTTGCTGAGGCTGGCTTTGAACTTGAGATCTTCCTGCCTCAGCCTCCAGAGCCATTGGGGTTACCGGCCTGCACCACTGTGCCTGGCCTGTTGAGTTTTTTAAATTCTTAATTCTCCTTCATAATCCCTTTACAGCTTCAAGAAAACAATATTTAAAGACTTTTTGGAAATAGTAATGAGAATGTTCTTTTAACCCCTAGATGTGTTTGAAGCTCTTTCTGAGCTCATAATTTTAACAGCCAGTCATTGTTTACACGGAAAGGAAATCAGAAGTCAACTGAATGAGAAGGTGGCACAGCTGTATGCAGATTTGGATGGAGGTTTTAGTCATGCAGCCTGGCTGTTGCCAGGTTGGCTGCCCCTGCCTAGTTTCAGGTATGGATAAAGAAGATAATCACACCAATTTAATTTTGTGCAATTACTCTAATGTTGGTATGCTTTTAAATTTGGGGAGAATATGAACTGTTATTCTTTTGTAAGAATTGAGAAAACAAAAAGTTGAGGACAGGTTTTTTTTAAATGGAGTGAACTCATTTAAAGTAAGTTTTAGCTTATTAAAAAGGTGATTTGATGTCTATTCTAATATTTTAAAGCCTAATTATCTGACATATTCCTTGTATTCAGGAAAGTCTCTGAATTCTGATTTGGCTCTCCTTTAAGTACTTGTTTTGAAGTTTTCTGATGGTTTTTTAGTATGTATATTATGACATTTCTTCTGAAGATCTGTGACTTTATTTAATTTTTTCTTTGTCTTCTTCCTAACTGTACTGTAATGCTAAGAAATATTGTCCTTAGGACTTGTATGTATCTTGCATATTAGTCTTTTTGTACCTTTGCAGAGTCATTTCTATTTAGGTGAGAGATGCGGGGGAGTTGTGAATTGGTATTTCCTTTTCCTTCTGCTTCTACCCCTTCTATGTAGTTGCAGAATAAAAGAGGGTGGGACTAAACAGGAAAGCTAGGAGAGCTTCTCGGCGACTCTTTTTAACACTTCATATTTGTAAGAAACCTTGTAGTTGTTCGAAATGCTTTCATTCATATATATATATAAATAAAAGCATGTGTATATGAATGAACACACCCAGCACATTTTTTGGCCTATTGTAGGTTTTTCATAAAAGTGCACCCCGCCTATTTTTACCTGCCCTATCTTCTAGATGAGGTCAGAATCCTTGAGCTTAGTACGATAGCCTGCTTAGCTTTCTGTTTTACTTGAATCAACTGGTTTAGTCAGATTCTTTGATTAGCTCTTTAAAAATTTATGTATGTATTGGTTCTGGGGATTGAACCCAGAGTCTCACACATACTAAGCATGTGTTTGAGTTGCACCACCAGCCACTCCATTCGCTTTCCTAAACAGGCCTTGTGTTTTCCTGTCTCTGCTGTGTTCACTGTCTTCTTACTTTCTGTACGTAGTACTGCAGTTGATCCTCAGCAGGTCTTGCAAGTAAAATAGGGCAGGGCAGGATTTTTTATTAGAGGACTTGATTAAGAGGGGACGTGGGAGCGAGATTGACTGGTTTTTAAATTCCAGCTCCATTGTTAATTGGCTGTGTGATCTTATGCCACTAAATGTGAATTGAGGACAGTGCTATCTGTGTCACAGTACTTGTGATACACAGTGAGTACCCTCCCTGTTTAAAGGTTAAGTTTTGGGAGTTGAAGCTTGTTTTCTGACTATATTACCATTTTTCTCCTGCAAAACGAATATTGTTTAGAAAACGAAAGTATCAAATTATTTAGATGGACCCTTCTCCTTCAAGAATTGATTTGGTTAAAATTGGAATTTCATGTTAACTTGAAAGAGTGTTCTGTTTTCTGTTGAGCTGGAAAATGCTTCTAAAGGAATTTCATGCTTGTTTTAAGCTTTTAGTTAGAAAACAGTAAGTTAAGAATTTGAGCTATATATGAATATGCACTCTTCTTATATAAAAAATTTTAACCATATAAGATGTTTATGACTTTTTTCTCTTGGCTCTGAGTTTTTGCCAATTATTTTAGGGTCATTAAGTTAGTTAAAAATGGTTGCTTTAATAAACTAGGTCTGAGTTTTCAAAATGAATTTGGTCTTGGAAAGTGTGACTTTATTTTTAAAAAAATATTTTTATGTTTAAATAGACGCAGAGACAGAGCTCATCGAGAGATCAAGAATATTTTCTATAAGGCAATCCAAAAACGCAGGCAGTCAGAGGAAAAAAATGATGACATTCTCCAAACTCTACTAGATTCTTCATACAAGTAAGAGCTGTTCAGATCACATATTAAGTTAAAAGTTGTAAACTACACATTAAAACATAGTTAAATAACATTTCCAGGTAGAAAATAAGGATGTTGACAAAGTAAGTCACTAGCTATGACCTTTGGGATTTTTACAGTTGTTGAGATATATGATATTGAGGTCTCATGCCTTACTGGCATCCTATTGACTAGGCTGGTGAAAATTAATGGTAGGTAAGATGTTTGGAATCAAAATCATGTTTTCTACTGGTTGAGTCTTTGAGGGGGAAAAATACTCTGACTTGTGGTAGGCAGATGAAAGAGGTTTTTTTATACTTTTATAAAGTATTTGTTATGACCCTTTATTTAAAGGTTGAGGCATGAAATGTGTCTGCCAAAATGTTAAGTTTGTTCATGTGATTCATTCTGTAGGGATGGGCGTCCTTTGACAGATGAAGAAATAGCAGGGATGCTGATTGGACTCCTCTTGGCAGGACAGCATACGTCTTCAACTACCAGTGCCTGGTTGGGCTTCTTTTTGGCCAGAGATACAACACTTCAAGAAAAATGTTATTTAGAACAGCGTACAGTTTGCGGGGAGGATCTTCCTCCTTTAACTTATGATCAGGTTGGTTGGATTTTTCACTTTCATTGCTGCCTTGTAACTTCCGAGTATCTGTGGCTAATTTGTCCCCTTTAAAGGGGGAAGTTGAGGTTTTGTGTATTTACACTTCAGCTTAAATTGATAAGCTTCTCTATTTTTAGAAAATTCCCCCTTTCCTTGTCTACGATATCCTATTACTGCTGTTTTTCGTAAACTTTATCATATACGTTTTAGATGATTCCTGAGAGATATCTCTGGTTGTTTCTTTAGTACTTACTTCTTGACTGTATTGTAGAAGCCTCTGAACGACTTAGAATTCTGTGGTCTGGAAAGGCCTGTGCTTGAGCAAAGTAGTAATGGACTCTAGAACTCCACAAACCCTGCACCTGGCTTGTTGGCAGAAAAGAAGTGAGAAGGACTGACTTGAGGTTCCACCTTTGAAGCCGAATATAGCATATTACATTTATTTTCAGATATTCTTATTTTCCTGGGATAAATCCTACTTTGTCTTACGGTCCTCTTTATATGTTGCTGTATTCTGTTTGCTAGTATTTTAGAGAGGATTTTTGTAGTTTTATTATGATGTCTTTGGCTTTGGTATCAGGGTCTTAAAATGAATTTGGAAGTATTTCCTTTATCCGGTTTTTCTGAAAACTTTGAAAGATTGGTATTAATTCTTTTTTACATATCTGATAAAATTTACCCTTGAATCCATCAGTTTGTGCCTTTCTTTGTGGGAAGTTTCTTGATTATGAATTCAGTTTGATCTCTTTTACTTGTTATAGGTATATTTACATTTTCCTTTTTTGTGTGTGCATGCCAGATTTTATAGTTTGTGGCTTTTTAGGAACTTATCCATTTCATCTTGGCATACAGTTGCTCATAGTATTATTTTTATAATCATCATTATTTTTGAAAGATCAGTAGTGATATCCTCTTTTTCAATCTTGATTTTAGTAACCTTTTAAATACCAGATTAAGGGATTTAAATTAACACCAAAAATCTATCCATTTAAAGTATAAAACTTAGTGGTTTTTAGTATATTCAGAGTTGGGAAACCATCATCACAAACAAATTTTATAACATTTACATCATTCCCCAAAGAGTTAGTACCCTTTAACAGAAATGTTCTATTCCCCTGTCCCTTATTTCCAGCAACCAAGAATCTATTATTTGTTTGTTTGGGTTTGCCTATTCTGGACATTTCATATAAATAGAGTCATAAATATGTGGTATTTCATGACTAGCTTCTTTCACTTAGCATTTGTTTTAGTCAGTTTATTATAATGAAATTCTTGAGGTTGGGTACTTTATAAAGAAAAAGGATTTATTTAGCTCTCATAGTTATATATCTGTGCTTTTTTTTTTTTTTACAAAAACGGGAGGATCAAAATCCAGATAGCATGCACTGGTTATGGCAAGGGCCCCCTTGGCTGTACTGATATATCATGGCAGATGGCAGCATCATGGCAGGAGTGTTAGGAGTGAGAACTCACATAGTGAGACAGGAAGCCAGAGCAGGAGTAGGACTTGTCTTGCTGTTTTTATAACAATGGTCTCAAGAATTAACTCGGGGTCTCTTGAGAACTATCTCAATCCCTTCCAAGGACAGTACTCCCACATAAATGTTTTTCAAACCATAGCAGCATGTTAAGTTGCATCCATGTGGTAGTGTGTATCAGTATTGCAGTCTTTATCATCAGTAATATATGGGTGTGCTGCATTTTGTTTTTCCATTTGTCAGTTTATAGATATTTGGGTTGTTTCTACTTTTGAGTTTTATGAATAATGTCATTCTAAATGTTTGTGGACTGATTTTGAGTGGACATTTTTAATTTTGTGGGGTGTATTGTGTATGAGTAGAATTACTGGGTCATCTGACATTTTTTATGCTTAACATTTTGAAGAACTACTAGATTTTTTTTCCAAGAGATTGTACCACTTTTGAATCTCACCAACAGTGTATGAGGGTTTTGATTTCTATATACCCTTGCCAAACTTGTTATTGCCTTTTTGATTATAATGGTGTAAAGTGGTATTTTGTTCTGGTGTTGTTTGAGTATATTAATGTCCTCTTTGGCCTTAGTGTATCTTCTTTGGAGAGATGTCTGTTCAGATCTTGACTCTGTCTCTAAATAAAATACAAAAAAGGGCTGGGGAGGTGGCTCAGTAGTCAAATGCCCCTAAGTTCAATCCCTAGTACGCACCCCCCATTCCCTAATCAAAAGCTGCAAACCTTTAGTCCTATGTTTTCTTTTTAACATCTTGTAATTTCATCTCTTACCATTTGGGCCTTTGATCCATTTTGAGTTAATTTCTGTATATAGGTAAGGTAGACAACCAGCTTACTTTTTGTTGTCATATGGAAATCCAATTGTCTCAGCCTATTTGTTGAAAGGCCCATTCTTTATCCATTGAATGGTCTTTTGTAAAAAAAAAAATCAATCATCAATTTAGGACTTTATTTCTGAATTTTATTCCGTTGATCTATATGTTTAGCCTTATGCCATTAATTACTGTATTTGTGTATTAAGTTTTAATTTGGAAATGTGAGTTCTCTAACTTATTCTTTCCAAGGCCGTTTTTAGCTATTCTTAGTTCCTTTCATTTCCACATGAATTTTAGAATCAACTTGTCAATTTCTGCAAAGAAGCTAGGGTAGTGATTGCATTGTATCCACATGTAAATTTGGGAGCATTTGCCTTCTTAACAATCTTAATCTTTAGACTCATGAACATGGGGTGTTATTCCATTCTTTTTTTTTTTTTTTTTTTTTTTT